AACTTTAATATAAGTTTAACATAACAGCAAATGTACAACACTGTCATTTTAAACAAAGAACTCAACATAAGCAAACGAAAAATCAAGGAATCCATCTTAATTGAACAAAACTACTCTAAACCAATACCCCGGGGTGCCAAGATACCTCTTCTAAGTTTTGCAACAGTATCCGGTCATGTGACCTCTTTGTTCAATACTGTATATATATATCTTCGTGTCAGTGTAAATTACTTGTACCCGATGATGACAAAACCTTGTCGAAACGTTGTACATTTGCTGTTCTGTTAAACTTATATTAAAGTTTTTTTCATTACCCATTCAAGCCGTCTCCAACCATTATTATATTAGGTCTGTTATTAAGTTGCACTGAAGCATTGCGAAAAAAACAACCTATATACATATGTATGTTTTTACTATTTATATCTATAACAATCTGCAAACGATGTTCTTCAAATAATACGCATATATTTGAACACATTTGTTTCCAAGCTCTTTATGCTGGCTTTTATAAAGTCGATTATTTAATCTTCTTCTGCTTCTATGTTTCAGTGTACTTAAGTCAATTGAGAGCCGATACACGAGTATATTTTCGAAGTTTAATCCAAGGTCCGGAGAAGATCAAACTGGATTTAAATTAAGCCTTTTGTATCCGACTAGGGCTTAAATGCAGCTTGCTTACTAGTGCTGAGTAGTTCACTTGCAGGGTAGAATGTACTGACAGTTAATTTTGTCTTGTTTATTAAAACATTCTGATGTAATCTCAGAGCATCTCTTCGGCAATGAAAAAGTGCAAAACACAAATGAGTTGAAATAATTCAAGATTATTGTTCCTGTCCCCAATTTAAATACTAGCCACCCCCCCCCCTTCTGTGTGACTTAAAAGGGAATTTAGATTAGACCAGATGCAATCAGAATGAAGTAATCTCTCTAAACTATTTTCAATTTGTACTTTTGCCTCACATTCGGGTACGCTGATCTCCTCCCATAGATTATATCTTGGTGCTGCCATCTGTTGGGTAAACTGTATACATAGAATTAAAGAAATTTCTCTCTAAGCTTCCTGTCCTTGGGGTTGGTAACAACAATACTTTTTCCCACATATTTGAGTATAAAGAAGACGAATGTATTTGAAAGTGTTAGTAAATCGTTGCTTGTTAATTTATGACTTATTGACATAATGTGCTTCCATATACAAGTACCAGTTAACATGTTATTTCATTCATTACCAATATACAAGTTATAGTACAACGTATACAACTACACTTATAGGCTGCGTCCAGGGGTAGATTGTCCATAGGGACACCGGGCAGTTGTCCGGTGAGTCGATGCATTTGACGCATTCTTGGAAATTTTAACTTTTAATTGTTTAGTCAGAATGCAGCAAGTGATATTCTCTAGGCTGGTCCTTTAATCCCAATCCGCCCTTGCCTGTGTCTATAGAATAACTAGGTAAGACAGAAATAGATTTTACCATATCATTATGATTCTCATCATCTTCCGGGTCTTCCCATAAGTCTACCAATTTCGCGACAAAACGTATACAACTACAGCTATAAACTGTCTCAGCACAATAACTAGGTAAGACAGAAACAAATATTACGACATTAATCGAATTCTCACCATCTTCCGGGTCTTCCCATAAGTCTACCAATTTCGCGACAAAACGTATAGAACTACAGTTATAAACTGTGTCAGCACAATAACTAGGTAAAACAGAAACAAATATTACGACATTAATCGAATTCTCACCATCTTCCGGGTCTTCCCATAAGTCTACTACTTTCGCGACAAAAGGGAGGTCTGTCTTTTTTGGACCGGACTTCAAGAGGACACAGTCTTTAACCCGTATGACATCACCCTCCAGGTGGCGCATGGAAAGGAAGCACTTCATAAAACGGGGTGGGTTGTCGTTCTATAGAATCGAAATATGAAATTGGGTTAAACAAACAGAATAACTGTGAACGAAATATAACTATTGAGAACGTATGCATTTGATAAACATATTCCTCACTCTGATTAAGTAAAGGTTGTTGAAGAAAACCTAATGCACGGATTCTGATGAGTTGAAAGAAAAACTGGCGGAACAAATTGCCTTTTACTCGGATTAATTGGTCACTATTTGATTTTAATAAAACGTTTAGTGAGGAATTTCATGTTTGTTGTTCGAGCAAATGAATTAACGAACCATATTAAGTTAAATCGAAATTTAAGGAGAGAAGTGTATTAACTTTCCTAATAGGCTTAGTACGGCTCACCCAGTTCCTAGAGTACTACAAATAACATTATTTTTCAATATCAGAATTAGATAAAAAAATAATCCAGTATTTGTTCTTAAATATACGAAATCAATTTTCAATCTGAAACATCT